CTCAATAGCTCGTAAAGACGCCTTCTGCTGCGGCAGCACCATAAGCCGCGCAGATCTGCTTCGCTGCCACATCAGCCCCGGCCACATCTCCCCCCCTGCGGTGATGCTGGGCCCCCAGCGCTGCGCCTCCTCCCAGGGGGATTGCAGAGCGCCTGGATAAATTCCTGCCTGACCATTGCCATTGTATCTGGGGGAGCTCCCCACTTTCTGTGCTCATTTCCTACAGGACCCGGCCAGCACCCTGAGACGATGGCTTTTGCATTTATGGGTGCGTTTGGTGCGTGACTGTGTGTCGTCCCGGTATTTCCCTCCTGCTCCCCACTAGCCAAGTCAATTAACAGTATTAATCAGGAGTAGAGGTGCTGCATAATTTATGTAACCGAATCAATATGCGAGCAGTGATGTGAGAGCAGCCACCCCTGAAGCCCGGCTCCACGCCAGTTGGGTGTGAATCCAGCACCGCTGTGTGCCCCAGGAGGGGAGCTGGGACGTTGGCCTCGCAACTCCCTTCCTCACGGCCAGCACCTTCGTGCGAGGGTGTTGAATTTGTGGCTGCTGTTCCTTCGTGGCACGAGCATCCCTGTTGGTTGAGTGCATGGTTGAGAGCATTCTTGCCTTTCAGATGCTGCTGGAGGAGCTGTAGTTGAGAAACGGTTAGCTGTGGTGCTTAGATGTTTCTCCTGCTTTGCTGGGAGTGCTGGTAGCTGATGACATTTGAGTTCAGATTTGTTACTTCTAGTTTAAGCTGAGACACTGAAGTTCAGGCTCAGGTTGAATGTTCCCTCTACTGTAAAAAAATAATAATAATTTAAAAAAGTACCAGTGGGATGGATCCCAGCGCCCACCTGGACTCTTGATGTGCCGCCCCTGCTCTGCAGAGCTCTCCCATGGGGTTTGGTGCAGGCAAGGCCTGTTGTGCTGCCTGTGCCCCAAGAGGCTGCTGCCTGTTGCTTGCTGCTGTGCCTCTCTGCTTCTACGCCACTGATGCTGTCCTCCGTGGCACCCCTGCAGCTGCTGGGGGGAACGCGCTGGCTTGGCAAAGCTGTTGAGCTGCTTTCCGAGAGCGCAGACCTTGGTTGCCCACCGCTTGGCAAACTCTGTCGGGACCAGCGCTGAGAGTTGCCGCGAGTTATTGTTGCCCGTAGGACGTAACATGCTCCGTCAGCAGCGCTCTGCTGGAAAGGGGAAGGGACTCGGACTTCCCCCGAGGAGCTGCAGCCGGTGGAGGGTGGGGATAGACCCAACGGCTCTGCCCAAGCAGCGGATCCCCAAGCTGGGGGTGGCGTAAAAACCTCCCTGTGGTTATGAAAAATAATTTGCGTTGGGTGGTCTTGCTCTCCCAGCATCTTGGACATCTCTGGGTGGCTCCTCTGGGTCCGCTCCTCCATCCCCTGCTGTGCAGTCCCTCTTCGGGGAAGCGGCTGTTTCCTCTCTGAATGCAAATCTGCCCCTCCAACACCTGCGATGCTGAACTGGGGCGCTCAGGGCTTTAAGGGAACTGCCCTGGGGGGGGGTTGGGGTATTTCAGTCCTAACCACCCTGGCACGGTGATCAAATTAATCCCTTTGCTCAGCAGACAGCAGATTTGATATCGGATGAGGACCAGCAATCCCACTGCTACCTTCATCCCCTCTGCTGAGACGCTGAGGTCTGTTATTTGCCGAGGAGGAGGGATTTTCCGCATCTTCCTGGTTTCTGGGGCCTTGTTATTTTTCTGTGTGTGCATCGCATTGTGTTTTTTCATTCCCATTTCTCCCATTTGCAGGAAGGCATCTGCTCCTGGGGGAATTACGATCGGACCCGCTGGCTGGTTTAGGGGAGGTTGCGGGCAAGCTGGCGAGAGGATTTTGGTCGCCGCTGTGGTAGATCAGCATGAGAGCAGGGTGGTGCGGTGATGGGGGAGCCCCCAGAGCAGTCCCCCTGCTGCAATGCTACCGAGTCATCCCGGCTTTTGGGGAGAAGTGGGTGGTCCCAGGGAGGGGGAGCGATGGCAGCTCTCGCTCGGGGGTGCAGAGCCGCAGGTTTGGGGTGTTTAATCAGGGCTGAGCCTTTCACACAGAGGCAAGAGGCTAATTATTATTTTCTTTTAGGTATCCGTGGCAGCTCCCTCGAAGGTGCTGGCAAGAAAATCGGGCTGCCATGGAGACTGCCGGGCTGGGGAGGTGGTTGGAAGCTATCGAGGGTTGCTGTGGGCTTGTTGGGGTTGGAAATCTGCTTTTTAACTACAGCTAGGAGGATTTGCCAAGTATTTTTGCAGTCCCTGTTCTGCCCTGAGTGGCATTAGATGGGGACAGCATTCACTGTTTGAGTTTAAGAGCCAGGACTGGCCACTGTGCCTTAGGAAGGCGATGCTGAACCAGGGCTTTGATGCTGGTGGGAGGTCACCCAACTGCCTCTGGGTGCTCTTTCGTGACCTCTGGGTAGAGAGAAGTCCCTCAAAGGGTTTTTTTTTTCATCTAGAAAGTGAAGAAATTAAATACATGTTGTTTCTTCAACCAAAAAAATAGTTTGGTGCCGGCTCTTTCTGGGAGAGGTGGCAAGATGTGGGGATAGGGAGGGACCTTTGCTCCCGTCCATGACTGAGCCTCCGCTTTGCCCCAGGACTGGATCTTGCACTGGGAAAACATCTGGTAGGAATGGCCATTTGCTTTAGAAGCATAACCATGATGCGCGCAGGCAGGAATGATGTCAGATGGGGAAAAAAGGAGCAGAGAGGGAGGACCTGGGAGCTGCTGGGTCTGCAAAGGTCTCCTGTGAAAGCAGCCAGCTTCCTGGCTTTTCAGTGAGAAGAAAGCCGGAGAAGAAAGAAGGAGCTTGTCTCCCCATCCACTGCTTCCTCGGCCTCTCTCCTCCCACCCGGCTGGGAGGCAGCGCTGGCTCCCGAGGTGCCTGACCGCCTGAATTTGGGGGCGGCTTCGTG